TAATTTGTTCCAACAGCAATTTAAGCTGAAGGTTTACATATTTTGAAAGTTCTCTTTAACCTGAGTAAAGACTCTCTGCTTGACACCCTAGAAAGAAATGAAAGGCAATTATTTTATTTCAAAATTTTAATGTCTTGTTACTGTCATGTCATGTTGGTTGAAAGAGAAAAAAGATATCATTTAAGCACCTGAGTAAACCATTCTCATTTACAGCAGAAATAATAAATAGCAGAGGAGGTGGGGAACAAAAACAAACAAGAACAATAAAAGTAAATGTCCAGTTATTACAATCAACAGTGGACTTGAAAGTGGACATTTGACATTTTTGGAGTAGATAAGTTCAACAATTGTCCAGTTCACATTCCTCTCTGCTTTTTGAACAGGAGTAGAGGTTTATCCCTTGTTATCTTGTTTAGGATTGGGTTTCTGGTTCCTTTTTAAAATCTTTTCATTTTCTTTCACTTCCAATAGCTCCTTGCATCTTATTTAGGGTGAATGGATTAAAAAAAAAATCCTGTGCAATCACTGAAGTTAAGCAATATCAAACCTGGTTAGTACCTAGATGGATAACCAGGTGGTGTAGATAATGGTATGGAATTGTTAGTCTAGTTCCAATTCCAGTTGGTTTGTTATATTTATTTACATGTAAATATCCTTGGGGGAAAGTATAAATTCACCTCTTCTCTCCCTGCTCTTAGTTTTCTCTGATTGGTCAAATATTTCACATAGTGATGTTAATTTCTAACAATAGACATTCATTTAAATAGTGTGTAGATTGTGGAATCTTTTTGGCATGTTTGTAATATTGTCAGTTATTGGGTAAAAAATAAAGTTTGGGCGTGTTTTAATATGGTATGCATATGGATAGGCAATTTGTGTTGGAAATAGGGTTTATTTTATTTCTTATAAATCTTATATTCCTCACATATTTTAGAGAATATTGTTACAATTATTCTATCTTATGATTCGCTATTGTTGCTAATCTCTTATTGTGTTTAATTTATAAATTATATTTTATAATATGCATGCATAGGAAAAACATTATACAAAACTTCGATACTATCAGTGATTTTAAGCACTTTTCTACAACATTCTCTTTGGATAAGGGGGGACAACTCTATTTGATTTTTATTATGTATTATTTTCTTAATGAATTTCACTCGAGACTATATTAATTTTCTATGTTTTTTTTTTTTTTTTTTTTTTTTTTTTTTTTAGAACAATGTTCTCCCTTTACAAGACACAAGAGTCTCAAAAGCTATTTTTATATTAAATATTTGTAGATATATTTTATATTGTATTTTTTATTATTTTTATATATTTGTATAGCCTTCATAACAGATAAAATTGGTAATGAAAAAGGCAAACTTTTTAAATGGTGCCTCTTCTTGTTCCCAGAATCTAAGAAAAGTGTGTGAAAGTTAGACACAAGGAATCCATAGGGGAAGTAAAAAATATCTGCTATAGTTTCTAATATTGAAAGAGAGAAGGGTTCATATGACCCACTTTGGGATGAGACCCAAATATAAGGTAAGCCAATATTACTCAAGTGTGAGAGAGTTGAAGAAGGAACATACTGCTAAACAAAGTGTGGTCAGTTTGGATTCTTGTCTTAGCAGGAACAAAAAAAATCTGGAGAGCAACTTTAAGTATAAAATTTTCTTGTATAAAAATATAGCATCACTTCTGTTACACTTTGCCAGTGTGTTATATACTCTGTTAGAATTGATTTGAGCTAGTCACTAGATCTACCACCATTTATGTAATAAGACCCTACTTTTTTTCAAGAATAAAATCAAAATAAGTAATAAAAAGAATGAGTTTAATACTTCACTTTGAAAGATTCTTGAAATCTTTATATATTTCGTTTTATGCACATCTACCTACCTATGCCAATTTCTAAGTGGATATTATGCAATGTGTTTTCTGCAGATCAAACATTTGCCTTTTTAGTCATTTCCATACCTGATCATATTTAGTTGCATGGGCACACACACACAGGATAATGTCAACAAAGAGAAGATGATTCTATAGCTACAAGATACTATTCAGTCTTTACATTTCCCCTTCATGATTCTGCTTAAGCTTCATGCAATTATCACTTGTATCTCATTTATTTTCTCTTATTTACATAAACACTGGAACCTTGACTTACAAAAAACTTACCATATGAAGAAAAATGTTTCCATTTATGAATTAATTTCTACTTACAAAATTAAGAATGGGCTTCCCAACATTGCATTTCATACTAGATATTTACTATAAATGTACTGTAAATACTTTTTAATCATATCTAAATATACTTTATTTTATATTTTTATGTTTTATATATTATATTATTGTTTTATATGTAATAATACTGTAGTATTATTCAGTATTACACTACATTTTTATCCTGTATTCTATTAAATATTTGCAGATATATTCTATACTGTATTTTTTATCCTTATCTTTATATATTATATACAGTGTACATAATTATAATATATTTTATATACAGTACTGTATTATTATTATACAGTGCATATTTAGTCTAATATACAGTGTATAATCATTCAATACAGAAGTAAAAAAAAAAAAAATTATAAAGTTTAATTAGAGTAAAATAAAATGTATGAAATGCAGGTACAGCGTGTAAGCTATACAGTAAAATAAACTACATATCCAGTTCTGGTTGATTTGTACAGTACATTTCATCATTATTGTTCCTTTACATTTTTCCATAAAATTACTGTACTGTACAGTTTAATGTGTTACTGTACAATAAATATTTGTGGGTAATTTTTGTCACCCAAGAAGCTGGTTGCTACAAAGAGAGAAGAAACATCTGTACAAATGTAGGAGATTATTCAGAAGCATGAAGAAGGTACCCGTGTTTCTGACCTTGCCAATCTATATGGACATTCAGCATCAACAATTGGCACTATCTTAAAGAACAAGATAGAAATAAAATAAAAAAAAAGAGCTTGATGTAGTCAAAGGAGTTAGCATAATTACCAAGCATTGTCCAAAAGCCCTAGAAGATGGTGAAAAACTTGTTGATTTGGATGAATGAGAGGCAGCTACGAGGTGATTCTGTGTCTGAAGATATTACATGTGCAAAGGCAAGGGCACTGTACTTGGATCATATCAGAAAAATACCAGGCACATCTTCTGAAGATGAAAAGGTATTTAAGGCAAGCTGAGGATGGTTTGTAAAAAGAGAATTGCCATCCACGGTGTAGTAAGGCATGTAGAGGCTGCAAACTCTGATAAAACTGCCTTGTTTCAGAGGTGTTTTGAAGTGACCAAAAATACAAACCTGACCCTAAGAGAATTTTGGAAGGATCACTTCAATATCTTAAATTACTTAAATCTCATTGATAAAGCATTGGAAGGAGACACAGTGATATATTTATTTACATTATTTTAAAAAGTACTTTAATTTTGCATAAAATACAATTTTTATTGATATTTATATCAATATTTTGGGGGCTTGGAACAAATTATTTTAATTTGTTATTTTAAATGGCGACAATTGTTTCAGCATATCAAATTTCCAGTTACGAATCCACTCCTGGAATGGATTAAATTTGTAGGTTGAGGTTCCACTGCATTAAAATATAGAATTAATACAAGTAAAAGATTTGTCACTTAGCTGATTGATGATACAATCAGCATCCCAACTCCAAAGTTTTGTAGACAGACTGTCTGGGAATCACTCCATCCACTCATCAGTTGGTATCAGAAATTGACTGCTATGCTTCATTTGTTTTCTTTTTTATATGCACTTTTCATTTGTGCAAGTTTTTTTTTTTTTTTTTTTTTTTTTTCACTTTACATTCACTCCTTAACCTTATTTTAGCTATTTTGACTTCTGGTTTTCTAGACATATATACATGTCAGATCAAAATCTGGAACATTTCTTTTTCTTTTTATCAAAGTTTATGAAGTAATGTGATGATAGATATTCACACTTACCTGATCCAAAGCACTTGAGGCATCTGGCCTGCTGAACCACCATTCACAAGACGTCAAAGGTGCATGCATGATATTGAACCTTTTTATGAACATCAGTCATTTGCATAAAAGAATGACCAACCATTTTAAAAGGCAGTATAAAATGACAATAGAGGGCAGAGAGAAAAATTGGAAGTGAGCAGAGGTGAAATTTTGCTATTCCTTGACATTACTATAGAAATTAAGTAACAAGTAAATATATAAAAACCAACATGAAATTTGATCCCAATTACATCTTTCACAAGTTTATCCATCATTGTCTCTGGAGAAGCCTGAATAAACAGTTGAAAAGGGATCTACAGTCAAAAATGTGATTTCTGTTTTGTTTTCGAATATGTAATAATCAAGAATCCAGACTCAGAAGATAGGGGGTTGTGAAAGGGAGCAGAAATTTCATTGCATTTCTACCAATTACTGAATATTAGACTTTTACATAGAACTCTGCTAAATTTCAATTTTCAAAATAATTTTCTCAAAGTACTATTTTCAGAGATTCTCTTTGATTGTTCAATTGGTTAAAGGATAATTTTTCAACAAAATCCTTAATTAGGATCATCACAATCAAAAAGTTTCCCTAACAACAAAAGCAAAAGTTGCAAAATTATTCTGCAATCCAAACATAGGTTTGAGGAATACTAATTAAGACAGTATCAAACCTTGCCAGGTTATATTTTCTGTAACTTTGAGAAGGTGCATTAACACTAAATTTTGTGTTGCTGATATTAACACAATATTTAGGTTGATTCATTCTTCAGCCTTTGTCATGTGTAGAATTTGTAAGAGAAAAATAAAACCTATTTTTATTTTATTTTTTGAGAAAATGATAAAAAAAAAAAAAATGACCACTAATATATAAAGTTTGATCAGTTGATTTTAACAATGCACTTCACTCCAAGATAAAATCATTACCCATTGCTCATGTACCCAGGTGAATTTGTAAGATTGAAATCCTTTTTGGAAGAATACTTAAGTATTTTTTTTTTTTTTTTTTTTTTTTTCAGGTGTGGAAGAATTTGTCAAGTTTTTTGCTGGTGTTCTGCCAGTGTGGCATGTTTCTATACATTGATTCCTTTCCTTTTCTGGTATTTCCCAGAAATGTGTACCTTTATGATATTCTCCAACAGATGTAAGTATTTTAAATAAATTTTTTTTTAAGCTCTTCTCTTAATGGTGGCTTTTCTGCTAGTTTCTTTTTTTTTTCCTTTGTTTCTAACTGCCTTGTAAGTTTTTTCTTATTGTGTTTACAAAGGCCTTTGACAAGAATTATTTTGAATTAATTAATTTCAACTGTTATGTACTCTGTATTTTGTATTTCTTTTGAATTATTTTCTCTGGTCAAAAATGTGTTGGGAACATATCTTCCAGATTACTGCTCATTCCAAATTACCTGGAGGTATTATTTAGCTCTAGATGTTTACTCCACTTTCCAGCTATTGTACCAGTGCTTTTAAAATATAGCTACACACACACACACACACACACACACGTTGAATGTGCTGCAAGTTCTTCAACAAAGAGGGGATTGTCTTTCAAGTTCTGATGTTTGCTCTGTTTGGGAAATGGTTTGGACTGACTTTTCAGCAGTACAAAATTTGATATATATATATATATTTTCAAAGTTCTACTTGAAAGTTCAGGAAATTTGAACAGAAACAGAATGGGTATAGAATTTTGCTGTTACCCTTTGTGAGCCTAATGATGAAAAAGTACCTAATGTATACAACAAATATTTATGTGTTTATTTTTGACACAATCTCTTTCCTTGTCAATACACTTAATTCAATGGTAAATATTAATCACATGGATTGAATATTGCCTAGAGTGTTAGTGCTGGTTCATGAATTTGTGGCATAGTATTCATTCACACTGCCACAGCATGGCTTACCTCTGCCTTTTCTATAAATACTAGCAGCATGGCCTGGCGTTGCCCGTGCTTGATTAAAAAATCATATACACATACAGCTATCACTTGACATAAATATTTTTGCTCTTCCTTGCCTTTAAAGGAGTTCCTTTTGCTGTGCTGATGTTGCTACATGCTTTACTTCTTGCCTATCTCACACTGCAAATTTTTTCTAAGCTCTAGACTAAACATTAAATCTGTTACGAAGAAAGAACTAAACAAAATGAACACAAAACAATCAGCTTTAAAAAAGGACTCATAACTGGAAAAACTGAATGAAAAAAGAATGTTAAATACTTTTTCACACCCAACCCAGTTCTGTGGAATCAGAATCAGCATTGAGTTTAAGCAAGCGAATGAGCCAATTGGAATAAAGTGCCATGCAGATTTAAAATTTTTCCCCACTTGTGACGAATGCAGCTATCAATTTTTTTTTTTTTTTTTTTTTGCATACTAGCATGCTAGCTAACATTCGTGTCAGTCAGCTGTTGGCTCTCACACTGGCCAATAGAATCTTCCTGCCTATTTGTGGCAGCCAGCTATTGGCTCTCACTCTGGCAAGAACAAAATGGCCGCAAACTACATGAAAACTTCCGTAGAAGCATATCGATGTGAGGTGGGAAATACAAAGTCAGTCTTGGCCTTCCCACAAACTTGGAGCATGTGCATGTAAAATTTGGTGCAAATCCGTCAAATTGCGGCTGTGTATTCATTACACACACACACATCCTGCCTTTTATAGATAGATTTTCATGTTTTTTTTTTTTTTTTTTTCAATGAGCTTTCTTTCTTGGTACCTAGACTTCACTAATTTAAATACAGTACTAGATTGGCAGCTAGGTCTCATCATTTTACACTTGAAACTAAGTTTGGTTTATTTTGTTTTATGGCATATCAAGCCTCAATGGGTTATTTAATGCTGACAAGTTTTTATTGCTGGTAATTTTATTTTTTCCCCCAAATTTATTGCTAGTAATATATATATATATATATATATATATATATATATATAAATAAAAAACATGTATTGCTGCTATTTTTACTATAAAAACCTATTTTTACAATTTCATAGTATTTTGACCCCAGTTTGGGGGTTCACTATTTGCCAATAGCTAGGAGCCTAACGGGTGTTACCACCCCAGGTCAGGGTGGACCTGGAAACAGCAATTAAGAGGTGGTTCCACACTCCTCAAAACCTCCTGATCTGATGCCTTGCTGCTGGATGTAGTTTATCGTTATGGCTACATGTAACCATAAGTTTCATTTTAACAAATTTTTCCCTTGCACCTCTCTCTTGTGGAACTCTCTTCCTTTTTCTTGCTTTCCATTTTAAATTTAAATGCTATGTCAATTGTTATCTTTTTGTCTTAATTCCTGTTCTTGTTCTCTCTACTTGATGTTTCTTTGTCTCATATTCTTTTTCACTCAATAACTCCTTGTATCTAAATAGCTTGATTGTCTTGCTTGGAGTGAAATTATTTAAAAAAACAAATAAAAAAAAAAAAAATTGTGTGTTCAATCCCTGGGCCAGATAAAACAAACTCAGACTCTGTGAAAATAGGACTAGCAATAACTGAGCAAAATACTAAATAAGAACAAGATGAGATATCCCTAGACATGGACAGTGGAATGAGAAAATAAAGGGTTTAGTTTGATATTCCCTGAAGGTTATCTGGATCAGACACCTGAAGGAGCTCAGAGGTCACAGCAACAGAGGTATAAGAAGAACAAGGGTGGAGACCTTAATCTGACTAAATAATGTTGACTCCTCATCACAGAAAATTCAGATATTAAATCTCCTTTATTGGAAAATATCAGATAACCTTATACATTAAGAATTTGATGAAAAACTACATACAGGGCTGACCAATAAGTTCATAGCCAGATATATCTTTCATGTTGATTGGTTTTACACAATGAGAAATCCCAGTATATTTTGAATGTTGTCTCGGCTAAGATTATATTTACTGATTACCCTTCAGCTGTTGTTATCTGATCAATTAAAATAAATTATTGAATTTGAATGAGTGTTTCTTATTGAACAAAATATCAATTTGGTTCATGACTGTAAAAATATGAATGTTAGTGAGAGGAATTCTTAAAACTGGCAGAATAAGAAATATATTTTGTATTGAAGTGTGAATAATGAGGTTTGAACAGCAGCTCAGAATTGATCTAAGTGAAGTTGGGATTCCTTTATCCAGTAAAGAAAAAAAAATATGTATATAGCTTCCAAGATCAGACAGAATCTGTATCTGTATGAAGTTGACATATTCCCATTCACTGACAAAAAAAAAAAAAAAAATTTTTAATCTGATAATATATGCATTGTTTATTTGGGAGTCTTGTTAGTAGTCATGTTTGATCTCCCAAAACCATACTTTGCACCAAAATCATCATCTGCTAACTGCTACTGTTATATATATATATATATATATATATAATATATATATATATGAGAGAGAGTGTGACTAATATAGACATGCACTGTAAATTTAATGGCAAAAAGATAAAAATCTTGCTAAAGTATTTTTCCTTCTTTCCTCCTGTTTTCACATGATTCTTGCTCACCAAGAACTGACCTCCTAAATATAAAATGAAAGCTACTAGTTCAGCCTTCTGTTCATAATATTAGTTTAGAGTTTATTATTTAGATATACATTATTTTAAAGGTTACTTTATTGACCAATATGGTTTAAGAAATTTCTAATACTCGATAAGCTGTGAATTGTACATTCTCTTGTATGTAAAGAAGAAAAGTAAGAAAATATTAAAATAAGAAAACCCTATAGTCATTAATTAGATTAGCATAAACAAAATAATCAGTATTTAAATCCTCTCTCATATATATATATATATTAAATTATTGTATATAATAAAGTGTGTGTATATATATATATATATATATATATATATATATATATATATATATATATAAATTAAATGTATAGATTGTATACTTTATAGTATTTTGTGATGGAGGTGGTGGACAACAGCAAGTGTCAAGCCCTGAATCTGTACAGGTCAAGCCTTCAATGCTTGACTTTTCACCTACATTACAGTTTGATGGCCCAGTTTTGTTGTCTAGATAATTGATCCCAAAAACTTGACTTACATTGAAAAAAAAAAAAATATATATATATATATAGTAGACTATTGGTATTTTAGTAAATGATGAATATTCTTAATATCTGAAGCTTAGAGTTGCTAAATTGTTATACTAAACTATTATTCATATTAAAACTTAATTTAGTGTTTCAAAATTTGGCCATAGTCTTTACATACATACAAGCATTCTGTTTTCATTCAAGTATTTAAGACCCAGAAGTTAAACTTAATATTTACACTTGATGTCAGCATCTGGAAAGCAAAAAATAACATGTGTGAATTAATCTTCTGTAGATTTAGAGCAAAGAAGCAATATATGCATATGATTATAATCAAAGTTGACCTCGGTTTTTAAAAGTCATGAAATTAAGTTAATAAATCAGTACAGCTTCAAAAATATGAAGCAATCTATTGTCCTCATCTTTGATGTTTTCAAAACGTTTGTCCATTCATGGCCTTCATTAGGTGTATGTTGATCTGGAAAACCTAAAGAATTCTGAACTGAACCCTTTATTTAATCTATGGTGATATACTGTTCTTGTTCCACTACCTATGTTAATGGATCTATTGTCTAGTTCTTATTCTTAGTACTGCTCTGTTTCCATTGAGTCCAAATATACATGGCTCAGTCAAGGGATTGAACTCACAATTACTTTATAAACCAATTGACAAGCCAACATGTTAATCCATTAAGCTATTGTCTGATGCAAAATAATAACTCCTCATCCCAGAAATTTAGACAGAAAAAGGACTGATTCAAGAAAACTTTCATTGAAAATTCCCCTCTGTCTAAAAACCAACTCCCACTTAGCCAAAGCACCAAATACCAAAAGGTAATTGTTTAACATTTATTATACATCACTTCAGAGAAAAATCATTGGAAGTTTCAGTGAAAAATATTCTGTTCTCATTCGTGTATTTATTTAGTTAAGTCGGCTAAGAAAGAATTTTGTCATAAAGATCATATAGAATGTGCAGTAGATTCTGTTTTGGTCATTGAATGCTAATGCTGTTCAGAAAATCCCTATTCCTCCACTTATAGATTAAATAATAGGGTAGACTGGGCTCTTCAGTGGCAGGTAGTCCAGAAGGAAAACTCTAAATTCAAACTTGATGTGAGCTGTTTGGAAACTTTGTGGCTGGTTCAACACAAGTATTCACCACAATCAAATCAGTTGTTGTGTGTGTGTGTGTGTGTGTTTGTCTACAAGTTCACTTCTGAAACTGAATTGTTGGGCTTTAATATGTCAAAATCATATATTATAATAATAATAATAATAATAATAAAGTAAAAAAATTATCTCTTGACTTCATAGAGGTAAATCCACACTTCAGGGTCAAGATAAATGTCCTTTTTAAATGCCATGTCCCTTCAGGATGTAGACAATCATAACTCATCAGATTCTTTTTCTTTATCTGTGAATTACCTTGCATTCTTGGGAACAGTTGTGAAGTAGTCTCCTGTTGCCTTATCCATGAATTTGAATTCAGCATAGCTACAATCTATGCACAGATTGACCCTTTTTTTTTTTTTTTTTTTTTTTCTAAAAAATTTTCATAAGCTAGCTATCCATACAAGTAACCATTGACAGGAAGTAAGAACAAATCTGAATGAAATAAGGACTAACCTTACCATCTATGCATTAGTTTTCATTTGTATTATCAAGTATATAGATTAAGTTGATTAATCAGTGAGGCATGATATGAAGTTGAATGCTGATTGTCTAATATGTAGAACGCAGAAAAAAAATAGTACATTTGAACAAGTCTAGTCATTTTAATTTTTATCGTCAGATCTATGGCTATTGTATTACTTACCAAAGAGAAAATACTCACTTGTGTCCTATATTTTGACATAGACTACTGAAACCTTGTTATCTTTTAAGTAGGTGACCTTCATCTGCTGAAAGTACACTACTACTTTTTATTATTAATGACTATATTTTTTGTGTCTTCATTTAGTTATGGTGAATATTTTTGTATGAAATTTCTGGTTTTTCTCCTGACACAGATTCAAACTCCTAAAATTATTTCCCAGATATAAGTTAGTACTTAATTTTCTGTCTTACAAATTTAGGTTTATGTGTAATATTTATAACAAAGTATTTTTATTAATATTTGAATTTCTTAGATGAAGCATTGTCAGATATTCTTAATTTTGAACTATTATTGCATTCATTTTATTTTTCTTGCTTTTTACCACAATTCTTAAGCTATTATTCTATTAAGTGCTGTAGACATGGAATATGTCCTTTGCCCAACATTCCACTGATTGGCCAATGATTACCCCATATTGTTGGTGTGCATCAAAATCTGGGAAAGGTTTGTTGCATGTAATGATAACATAAGTCCTATTTCTAATATTATAAAATAGATGTTTTTATTCATGGCTTCTCTTGCTTGGTCTGGACATGTTGATAGGCAGATGACACCTGGGAACAACTTCTGCCATAACAGTCTAACATCTCGGCTCTTCCCCTTCCAACTCTCAAACCATGTCCTAATGTGGGACTGACAATATGAATGTGTGGCATCATAACAAAATGTGAAGGACACACCTACTCTCATCAAGGGTGGACCAGAACTGACTCAATCTCAACTATAACTGTTGATATAGATTAGTAACCGGATACAGTCTATAACCAATTTTGTTCTCACTTGGTCTCCAAAAGCACCTATCCTCTCTTTTACTTTTCCATTCCTTGAGATAAAAATTGCACTGTGTGTGTCCTAATCATAGTGTCACTAGTGTTGATTAAAAGCTTATTCTTTATTTTTAATTTATACTAGTTATAAATGATTGTAGAATGATAGTTGCAGGGCAAGAGAAATAAGTTGAAAGCAATACCAGTAAAAATATCTTTTTTTTTTTTTTTTTTTTGATAATCCACCATTTTGATAATTAATATCATTTTTTATTTTGATAATCCATTCAGGAATTTTTTGTATTTTAACTTGAGAATTTTTTTTCTATTTTTTTTGTTTATTTAAAATTATATATTAAAATTCTTTATCAAATTTCAAAGCTTCTTCTATAAAAAAAAGAAATTATCTAATTTTTCTGGTTGTTTGTTCTGTATTTTCCAGTTCGTTGGCCTCCACTTGGTAACCTGAACAAACCGTCCGATTATGGATTAAATCACACCAGAAACCTCTACCTCAACCCTCGGCGAAATATCCAGATTGGTGTTTGGTGAGCAGTTACCTCCCTTTTATGGATATGAACTTTTGCAAATGCAGACAGTTTTTATATTTTTTTATTTAAAAAAAAACAAACTTTTCAATCAATTTATTAATTATATTACTTGTACAGATTTGTTATTTATAATTCTTTACAGTGTTTTGCTTGGTTCATGCTTCAGATCAATATATCAATTTTGTTGGCTGAAGTATCATGGGCATGCTGTGATAAATCTATGGATTAAATTAAGTTTATACTTTATAAACTTGATGGGTACACTAGTACACACATGGTCTATCAAAAAGTATCTGATTATTATAGATGTTTTTTATATTTTTAGGAGACTACGTAAAGAATGTGCGTAGATCGTTGTATATATCATCTTGACGGATGTGTACACATAGTTGCATAGTAGTAAATGGTAAATTAGTCTTAAATTTTATTGCATCTATAATTACTTTGATTTCTACTATGTTCTCCACCCTTGCGACCGACAGAGCTAATTTAAACTTGGTAAATTATTGGGGGCTTTAAATCCCCACCCGACGAGATTACTAACGGGACATAACTGTATTGGTTTATCTTGAGTTCTTTCCCTTGAAATAGCTTTCACTAAACGTGCTGAATTATCCTAGGATTTTTTCGTTATAAATTTGTCAAAAGTGCGTCGTATAAACCAATAAATGTTAAATGATTTGTTTATTATCTGTAAGAGAAATAACCAATATCAGCATACAACGATTAATCAAACAACTTAAAAAAAAGACTCCCTGCACTATGAGCCATCAGGTATCTTAAAAGTTCCATTACTGGTATAGCATTTAGTTAGTACTTTGTTAAATGACTCTCCCATTATTTGTTTTGAACAGGAGTATCCTTTGTTTCCTGTTTATGGTAGTTTCTGATTCCTTCTAAAGTCTACTTCAACTCTCCACCTAAACTCTGAAATTTTATTTAGCATTTATTTCTTTTTTTTTTCCCCCTCAATAGGAGTAGATAGATTCACACTCCTTACCAGTCTTTTGAACAGCAATAGAGATTTATCTTTTGTTATCTGTTTAGAATTGGATTTCTATTTCCTTCTAAATTTTTTTTTTTTTCATTCTCCTTCACTCCAAGTAGATCTTTGTGTCTTAGCAGCATCATTGCCTTGCATGGGCTGAACTGATTTTAAAAAAAAAAACACTATTTTACCCTCCAAGCAATATTAGATGCAAAGATTCTCACAGAATCTTGATAAAATTTAATCTATCAATAACTTTGCAGCCTAATAATGAAAAAATCATTAATCTTGTGCAACAGACATTTTTTTAACATAATCTCCTTCCTTGTCAGTGCATTTAATTTAACACTTCTCCATAGATTGTCCAGATTAAACCTTATACAATGAAAACTTCAGATCAACATTCAACTATAGATTTATTGATCCACTTTTTCATAAGTGTTTGCAAAATATCATTATTTTTTTTTCCTTTTTTAGGCATGTCCTTCCACGGGTATTGGCTGATTCCAACACTTTTCTCAGTGATTTGGAATATGACCAAAGTCTCAATGAACAGAAACTGCCTGTAGTTCTCTACATGCATGGAAATACAGGAACAAGGTAAGCAGCATAGAGCTCCATCTTTAAATCCTCAGCAATGTTAACAGAAGTTTAACATTTATTTAGCTTTTTCTCTTTTAAAAAAATGTATGAACTTTGGGTAAAACAAAAATGACAGAAAAATGTTTATGAAAAAATCTTGTATTAAAACAAAGTGGTCACTAATAAATCAATAATATGCAGGTTTCATTAATATGCCTGGTTGATCCAGGAAAAACTTCAACAACAAATTGAGCTACCCAAAATACTATATTTTATAGCATAGAAAATAAATTAAAAAAAATTTTGACCAAAGCTCATTATTGATTTCTATAATCATGTTTACCACAACAAGCTAAATTAGGTGTATGGTAAGATAGGTGGGTTATGGCCTTCTAGCAGTTTCCATGTCTGCTGTTACATCACATTGAAAATAATTTATCTAAGGTTTGTATAAAATTTTTTGCAACTATAACTAAAACAATAAAAGACTTAATACAAAGCAAAATAATAAGCTAAAACTTGGAATAAGAATTTACTCAATCACCTGTAACAATTGCCACAAGGAATACATAGGAGAAACCTCAAGTAATTTAAATGAAGATTAAAACGGACCTTTTACAAAATGAAATACTCAATATATTAGCATAATTTTGAATGAAAAAAAAAATGCTACTTTTAATTAAAAGTGAAAGCAATTCACAAAGATGAAAGTTCTTTAATTGCTGATCATCTAAATCCAGGTTATTACATTTTATCTATCTTGACAGATGTTTTATTATCACAATGTGAGATACTTAACAAAAGTGATAAAGATATGAACAAAAAGAAACTAAATGAAATTAGCTTGACTATATATCCAAACGCACATTAACACAAAAAGAAATATTTAAATGTTTAAAATTTCAGTGTCCCCTCCCCTTCGTGCACATGTTTAGTTACATCAATGTAAACATCACTTTAGTCTGATATCCTAAAGGACGAAGCATGTCACAGAAAAAATTTTGTCATTATTTTTCCTAACATTTTTCTTGATATATAACAAAATTCTATATAATTTTCTCCCTTTAAACAATAGTGTCAGTTTTTGATGTGAAAGTCTGTAGGATTAATGTCCCTTTCACAAAATGCTTCACATTAGGATTTAACATTGGATTTTATTTTTGGTTGTGTATGATTTGGAAAATGATGAAAAAAAAAAAAAAATGAGGATTAAGAAAAATAAATGTAGAATTAGTGCAGTAAAAAAAACAAAAAAAACAAACCCAAAATAGGTTATGATACTGAAATTTTCTAATTTCAGAGTAGTTGAGAAAGTGTGAATGAGAAAATTTGTATCTATATGACTAAATTTGAATGGCATCTGTTGGTTAGTTTTGGGTAGCCTAGTCAGTAAGCCACTGTCAATGTGAGACTGGCTTCCAAGGATATAAGATGCAGGTTTGCATCTTTACAGGGGTGACTTTACCAATCTGTGCTGCTGACGTTATAGAATGTAAATTAATTTAAACATTGTGATAAAAGATGAAAGAAAAACTATTTTGAAATTAATAATAATGCCAATGCTTTATTTAAGAATTTATACAGCGCTATTATATCTAATACTACTAACTGTAAATCACAATGAAAGTAAGATGAAAAAAGTCAAATTAAGCCTCGGTTAATGACGATGTTTCATCTTTACACTGATCTTTATTTTCACAAATCCTAGTATTCACTTAACAAACATCTATTTAGGATTAGTTTTTTGCTGTTGGAGTTAAAATGATTATTTATTCTGAATCTTATTAAAAAGCTGTTATAAATAATTTTAATCTTTCTGACTCATGATGTTTTAAGATTTGCTTCTAGCCTTTCCTATCACATTATTTTAGCTGGTTCCCTTTCTAACCATCATTAGGTGTCAATCACATAATTTTCAAAAAAAATTTTAACTGAATCCATTATTTCAAAAACGATTTTTTTCTTTATATTTTGTTGTATTTTTTTTTTTCTCTATTTTGTTTTTAATGCCATGTCTTTCTGGGACATAGACAACGATAACACTTCACAGATTCTTTTAAGATCTGCTAATTGCCATGCTTTCTTGGAGTGCAGTTTGGAATTTGGAATTCAGTTTTTCTTCTCTTGGGCTGGATGTCGACTAAAAGAGCCCAGTCTATTCTGCTAATTAATCTGTAGCTGGGGATGAAGACATTTGTGTGAAAGTGAATGTAACAGACTAACCCAAGATCTGAACACTGCTCTCTGGTTCCATTTTCTATTCTGATAACAGTTAGACTACCCACAGACCTTAGCAAATATTTACTTTTCCAATTAATGTAGATCAATGTTGTAATAGAATTATTGGTGTTAATAACTTATAGAATGGCAATGTCTCATTTCATGGCTGTTTTAACACAGTTCTGTCAATTCTATGCCAACTTGTTACTTTTTCCTTATTCTTGGATCTTTCTGTTTTTGACCCTCCTCTTCCACAGAGCTGGCTGGCATCGACTCCAGATATACCAAGTATTTTCATCAATGAATTACCACACAATTACATTTGATTATCGAGGTATGTATGAAAATTATCTAATGTTTCGCGGGGACAGATTTCAGCTGACATTATCCGAATTTATAAATAGATCATGTTAGGACAATGAAACAGTTTTGACGAATGTATCACTTGAATCTTTTCCAGGTCTTAATGAAGTAAATAATAAATTAAATACAAATGAATTGACTATCCAACAAGAAAGCTATTAAAAAAAAAATTTAACCTTCATTCTAATCCTCATGACTCCCTTGACTGCATCAGTCGTTGGGGGTTGGAGTGGATGGCCTGAGGACAGAACAAAATCAGACTTTGATTCTTCTTCATGATCCTTTCATGGGCTTTCAGATATCTTGGTGGCACCCATCTTCTCTCTAAACTCTTGACTGACAACTGAAGACCACAGAATATGGTGTGGTTCACTCTTGGTCTGTATCCTAGGCCCTGAGGTTTTGAATTCAGAGTTGTCCTTCTCATGGACTGGTTGCCACTCAAGGCTATATTACCCAGTCCTGTTATTTACCTATAGCTGGTAGGAGAGATAGATTCATGGCTTCCCTATGATTATTAGCATGTAAATGAATATAATGAACTTGAGTGAAATTTGAACTTGGTCCTTCAATTCCTTTTATACAAGCTGCTATCCATTACTCCACCATGCCTCATTCTAATAAGATATATTGAAGATGATATAAAAAAATATGTAAATCAGAATAACGGCGGGTAAATTAATGTCAACATGGAAAATTGTGTAGTGTCACATTCCGTTACAAGTTACTTATTTCCTTGGAATGAAACCTGCCACTATTCAGTTTTCTCTTCTATTATTCCATTAAAATATTAATGCATCATATTGATCTCATTCCAGTAGACCAGGGGTTGACACCAATTGGCCACATCCAGAATTTTGTATAGCACACCAGCTTAATACCTTGGAGACAAAATATCTAATTAATTTGTGGAGCAGATGGCAAAAAAAAAAAAAAAAATATTGGTGTAAATTGGCTTACAATGCAACAATTTTTTTTTTTTTTTTTTTTTTTTTTTTTTTTAAATCAAAAAATGAAATCTACTAAAAGTTGTTTAAGAACAAGGTTAGGTGATGACAACACGGATGATGTTTTGCTCCTGTCATTGATAAATATTTCACCTGATGTGGAGAGGTCATCAAACAATAAGCAAAAACAATTGTCTCATTAAATAATTTGCCATTTCTAACTGCATTTCGTTTGTAGTAAGGGATTTGCATTTTTTTTTCTTTCTTTGTTAGTTGTTATCCTGTTACTCCCACAGTAAAATAAGGAGCATTGTTTAAATATTATAACATTATTTTTATTTTTTCCTTTAAACCTCTAGACCAAGGCACAGCTTTCTGGGTGGAGAAGTCTGAAGTTGAGATAATTTGATATCATGGCACTCCTCCGAAACTGTGTATAGCTTTTCCAAAAAGTTACTGACCCCTGCAGTAGACAATACCTTAATCCATTTTACATGTACAAATCATTTAGCTGAATCTTGTTTTAATCAGCTCAACATTTGATCTAAGCTTTTTTTCCTATTCACTATTTGTTTCTATTAATTGATTAGCTTATTGTACTTTAAGCCCTGTTCAAGAGAAGTGTTTTATTAAGATGTTACTGTGTAATCTGCTAATTAGAAAAATATCTTCTCAATCTATCCCTGGTAGATTATAAGATTTGGACATGAATTACAAGTTCCTCATCCATTCCTACTGAATTCTTCCAAACATTTGAATCACAAGACCAAGCAATCAATTCACCACTAGAAAAAAAAAATATAACCGTATGTGATAATACTGGGTGGCCAAACTTGCTGTGTTCCTCCTTCTGGTTTTCTAAATAAAGTAAATGAAATTCCAACACAAAACTTCAGTCTGCACGTTGAGGGCATTTCCCCAGAACTGAGGAAAAGCTGGTGTTATATAGCTCTCACAGTCCTGGACTCGTGCTGACTATTGGCTAATATCTGGCCAGTATTGTTTGCATGCAAATTTTGTCAGTGCCACTTACTTTAAGTAAAAAGTCCTTTCCCAACAGTCAATTGTAGAAGGGGACGTAACTCCTGTTGCTTACTGCACCACATGCAACCAACTCTGAGTCTCTTGTCGGGTTGACTTGATTCTCTGTTACACTTGCTTAATGTAAGAGCCACATACAATAAAGTTCAGATGTTCAAGATCAGCAAGACATGAACAAATAATTTACAAATAATTTTTTGTTAGATACACATTACCACTCTCCCTCCCCCCCACAGTGCACCCAAATCTTTAATCCCATTATACTCATGACCCCCAGTCTTCTGACATTCCTCTGTAATGATGACCCAGAAGTTTCTTTAATCTCTCTACCTCCCACCATTCCTTTCCTCAACACTAAAGAACAATGCCTCACTAAGATTTAGCATTAAAATTAAGATTTAAATTCTTAAATATTTTTCATTAACCATGAACATTTAACTTACATTTTTAATTCAATGGTGTCTCAATTCCTACCCAGTAAATAATTATAAATCTTGAAATTTTGCTTATTTATCTTTTTATATTAACTGTGATAAAAAGAAGCATGGCCAACATATTTCCAGGAGCCGTATATTAAAGGTCAAAGAGCTGCATGTAGTTTGTGAGCTGCAGTTTGGCCACCCCTTGTGATATTGTATAATAATAAAAAGAAAAAATTTTTTTTAATTCTGATGTGAATGTTTATTATTTGAAGGTTATGCTGAATCGACTGGTGTTCCCTCAGAGGATGGAGTGGTTGAAGATGGTCAATATTTATTTAACTGGATTAAGCAGAGAGTAAAGAAAGACACACCAATTATCTTGTGGGGCCATTCATTAGGAACAGGGTAAGGGTCTCACCAATCTCTTTTCTATATATCTATATATATATAAAAAAAAAAAAAAAAATGTGTCCTGATCGTATGAAAGATCATTGGTTGAAAAATGTCAAATATTTATTTTCAAAGGATTACTTTATTAACTGGAAGGATGCACAAGTCCTACGATTCAAAAACCATTTTTTTGTCATTTGGTGTTTGACTGTTTTGCTCTTTATTTCCATCTTTGCTTCACAAGTGCATCACCATAGAGCAATGTTTAGCAAACTAGTCTCGATATAACTGCAGTGAATCTAATCCTCACTGAGAGGAAACCTTGTACTGAACTAATCTCACACCTGTCTATCTTGCCATGGGTCAATGGTTAACAAACTGTTTCCTGATCAATTCACTGACTTTAATTCTGAGTGCTCCACATTTGTAGTCATTTGTCAGATTATGTTTAGTAAATACCTTAAGGTGTTTCTTTAGCAAGCTATATGTTAAAAACTGAATAACCACCAATGTGTACAACTAGTCTTCAACCATACACTGTATGGCACATATATTGAGAAAATGTGATGATCTGATGCTAACCTTGCCCAGATATTATTGAGTAAATAGTTTAAAGGAATTGTTCAACAAAATTCAACCAAAGTCAATATTTGAGTTCTTAGGAAAAATTGAACTATATAATAAAATATAACTCCAAGTATTTGCATATGTGTATACACGTACATATATGTATATAAAATCACTTTTCAAAAAACTTATAAATTTTCACAACACATTGTAACATCCTGGTATTAAATTGTCACTAAATCCCAAAAAACCTAAACCCTTCATTAGTAACTCCAGTAAGTTCAGTCCTTATGTACAGATCTCTTTAGTAAACTTCCCTGTTAAAAATGGCCAGCATCTTACAAGGGTTAATAATTAATGTTCAAGCCTATCTAAAAACCAAGATTTTAAATGCAAATTTTCATGGCAAGCTTTAAGTACTGAGAAGATTGGTGCAATGCAATCTTCCTCTCACCATTTTTCCCTTATTTGGTCTTGTGGTGAACAAAACTAAGTTTAGATATCAAAAAATAAAAAAAATTTTGACACACTTTTTGAAGATTGAATTTACTTTGCAAAGGAAATAGATACTGTCCTGAATTTAGTAGCATTAAAATGAATAAGCAGTCAATAGATTAGTGATTCCCTAAGAGGGGTTAATTACCCCCAAAGGGGTAATTTGAGATTTCCTGAGGTCAGTCAGCTTACTGATGAAATTTTTTTTTCTTTCTTTTTTTTTTTTCTTTTTTTTTTGTAGTGAAGAATTAAGATGAAGTTTCAGTCACACCTCAAATTACTCAATTTTGCTTGTGGGTAATGAACCTTATTACAATTCTAAAACAAATAGGCAATCCCACCTAAGTTTGGAAGCCACATCTCAATATATTTACTAAGCTTAGTATAGTCTGTTAGAAGGCCAATATAGTGAGAAGGAAAATTTTGTGCCAAACTTTTTAATGAGAATACACACATATTTGTAAAATCTTGACTCTTACCTAGTTTTGAATACCACCCTCATCTACTAAATGATTACTAGATACAATGGGGACACTTTATTTTTAATCACCTTTCATTCTCTGTCACTTCTGTTTGGTTGGTTCTCCACAAAAAAAAAAAAGCTTTCTTAAAAATCTTTTTGTAGGAAAGCATTTTTTGAGTGATTATGGCTTTTGTCAACTTTTTATGAAGCTAGTTTTTCTTTCTTTTTCAGTGTTGCAACCAAATTGGCAAAAAATTTGTGCGATGAAGGTAGGTAGATCTGTCATTTCTGTATGTGTCTAATTTTATTCTTTTCACTTATGACTATCATTTTATTTGCATTTCTGATTTTTATTTTCAATATTAAATTTTTAAAAATGTTTTTGGTCATTTTGTTCAATTATATTCTAGCATCTTTCAGGCAACTTCAGAATTTTGTTCTTTTGGAACATTTTATCTTTCCTTGCAAAGAACTGCTCTACATGCATTTTAAGGAACTGAAATTTTTCATTAAAAGAATTTTTTAAAGACCAGAACACATGAAACTGTTAATATCTAGCAAATATGGCAGATGAGATCCTCTCAGCCAAACTGAAACAATTTTTGTCTAGTTGATAAAGGAACATGCAACTTAGTGTTATCTTTTAGAGAATATATTACTCTTTCTCTTAAATAATCTTTTTGTTAGTTGATTTCTTCATTTGGTCAAAATTGAAGCAGTATTTATTTGAATCAATTGTTTGATTCTCTGGAAGGAGCTTGTGTAGAACTACCTTATAATCCAATCATTTACCAAGCATCACTTGATTGGTGTGGTTAGCATTGGTTCATTTCAATTGCCAACTGTATCTTGTTTTACATGTTGTTCTAAAGTATTAACTTTTCCTAACCCATTTGTTTAAAAGAAATGGAGCCTTTTCATTATCTTTAGCAAGTCACACATGGAAATACAGTCCAGTAGGCCATTTTTTTAATTATAAGGAAGTCGCACATCAAAGTGACTAAAATAAGCTGGTATTGTGATTTTTGTACCACTTGATTGGGTTATTGTGAGTATGTTTATCATCTCTAGCATCGTATAGTATTTACTATTCTTAAATTCAATTGGTTGATCCAACCATGGTGCATCATTATGAAATTTTCAACATGAAATTTTACAAAACCATTTTTGACATATTTGATTATTTGCAACTCCTTCTGAAACTGCGCAGATGTTTTTGAGCATTTGACTCACATTCTTATCTTTCTTCAAGCAAAAATTTTACTTATCTTTCCCATGAAGTCATGGTTATTCACAGATATTAAAGAAATTGTGGAGAGCTATGATTGCTTCTGTCTTGAAGGAACATGGCATTAAAAGAGAATCTGAAATTTATTCAACTCTTTTTATCGTATATATAATCAAGCAACATTTAAATAGCCTTATCATGAATTCTGAATTTAATAAAATAGATTTCATGTGAAAATACAGAAATAAACATTGGTTATCTTTTTAAACACTTGTCTTTCTCATTTTGGTTGGCACACAAAAAGTAATTTTTAGAAAAGATACTAACAATAAAAATAGATTTATTACAAAGAATTTATGCTATATCAAGTATAGACTGAATGGAAGTTAGTCAAATAAAAAAAACCAAAAAAACTTCCTTATGAATTACTGGAAGCCAGATAAACTGTTATACACATGACTCCAGTTCATTGGAACAAAAATGAACTTTTCTAACCATGGAATATATTTATTTAATTAATACCAGCTGATATACAATATGATACAGTAAATGAGTGTAAAAAAACAAGAGGGAAAATGATTTCCATCTTTAAGCTCTCACTTGTTTTGCTCCAAGCAGCACTAGTCTTGTCGATGATTTCAACAAATTCAAGATTTTTTTTTTTTTTTCCCATTTCACCCCAAACCAGGTGATAGTCACTATGACTAAAGAGATTACTGACAGTGGAGGAAAATGAAAAAACATTAGTGAGGATGGGGATTGATGTTACATTTGTATGTTTAGTGGCATATCAATTCTTTATGGGTCATTTAATGCTGAAATTTAATTTACTTGGGAGCATTAGTAATTTCTTCTACAAAAATGTATTGCTAGTAATTTTTATTTTTTTACAAAAATAAAATGCTGGTAATTTTTTACTATAAAAATGTATTTTTATAGTTTCATAGAGTTTTGACTCCAGTTTGTGGGGGTTACTATTTGCCCATAACTGGGAACCTAACAGGTGCTACTACCCCGGGGTCAGGTTGGACCTTGGAACAACAACAATTAAGAGGTAGTTCCATGCTCCTCAAAACCTCTCCTGATCAGAGGCCTTCTTGCTCAATGTAGTTTGTCATACCCAGGACGCACATTACATTTAAATTTTTGAAGTTTTGTAGTTGACAGGAAAACAAGAAGCTGGAATTCCACAGTTGAAGTGCAAGAGAAGGAACTATTAGAATAGAACTTAGTTCCATCTAGCCATTTCAGCAGGAAAATGATGAGACCTAATTACCAAAGAGGAAAGCTCATCAGAACAATTCATCAACTCAATCCCAGAATCAATGTTTTCATGGAATTCACAATGTACCTAAAAGGTGGTGTAAGTTTAAAGAAAACCAGAGAAAATATTTTGCTAACTGAATAATGATATTTATTCGATTTTGTTAAAATAATTGCTGGAAAGTTTTGCATCAACCAAATGTTTACCACACTTTTTTTTCTTAATCACTGTCTATTGTTGATTCAATTGAGTTCAGAACTGAAACTAGAAAAACAACGTTGTTGTTAATTCATAAAAACGAACTTTGAAAGATGTCTTGAAGTAATTCATAAAGACCGTGTGAAAATGAAATCTAATGATCAGAAGTATTATTAATGAGGAACAGGTAGAGAATGAACGTTCTGGTTCAATTCATCTTTTCAGTGAGGCTCTCTCATGCAAATGTAGATTTCAGAATAGATTCTTTCATGTAACTTGCCAACCATATACTGGTTGTAGTGGAATGTTTGTGAAGCATGTCTTGCTGGTCATTACTCATGAGTTCAATCCTCACAAGGTGCCCCATACTTGTGACCTTGTGATAAAACTATACTACATTAAATAGATAGCTTACCATATACCAATCAGTAGGTCTTTTGTTAAATGCTGTGAGCTCACTTTGTTTATCTAGAAATACCTGAAGCATGTAATCAATTCATTATGACTGCTTCCAAGACCTATATAAGTATCTTGATATGTTTCCTCTCCTGCATGGTGGTTTCATTGATTCAGTTAGAATTTCTATTCTGTCTATTAGTTTGACCACTTTGGATAACTCTTTGTTGTTTCTGGGTACTGAAGTAGTCACAAAATAAATCTAGCCTTATGACTGAGGATAGATCCGAGAGAGGTAAGATCAAGCTATTCTCCGTTTGCAGCAAAGACGATGGAATCAAAGTATTTCAGCTACCTATATAAAAAGGTGTGTGTGTGTGTATGTATATATATATATATATATATATATATATATATATATATATATATATATATGTATGTATTGGATATACACCCCCGCATTCTAGGAAAATAAAAAAAATCAGCCTCATCTACTTGACAAGCAACAAAGGAAGCAGCCATAGAAAAATACGGGAGCTATATCAGTGGAAATGCATATGTTTTGTTAATCTCCATCACCAAAACCTAGTATGGGGAAAAATGATTGCATTTTCTTCTCAATGAAAAATACTTTGAATATTAAGTATTTTTTCAATTGGATGAAAGTAAACCCCACCAAACCTTGAACTGCTGGGGGGGGGAAGTTTCCCAAAATAAATTGTGGACTGTGCAGGTAGCATAACAGTTATTAGCATGGAAAGTGACAAGTCGAGTTCAAATTCTAGGCTAGTCTGCTGCATTCACTTTTACACAGTGGCATTTTGGAAAGGCATGGATCCATCTCTTTTTCTCCCTACCTACCTATGGGATAAATAGCAGAGTAGATTGGTCTCTATCTTTGGGTGGCAACCAGTCTAATAAAAGAAAAACTCTGAATTCTAAATTGAAGGTAATAGACTGCTATCTTTCCCAAGAAGTCATAGCAATTCACAGTGAATAAAAGAAACATTTGGAATCACCTGAAGGGATATGGCATTTAAAAAATAAAAACTACTGGTTATGAAAATTTTAGTCTGATGGGGACTAATAAGTTTCTAAAATCTGTAAAAACTAGCAGATCATATTTCATAAGAAAAAAAAGAAAAACCCAAAAAACAATATTTAGGCTCCTGTAAAAGACAGAATTACATTATAAACAAGTTAATATCTTATTTTGTAAAGGTCAAATATTTTATATATAAATACTTGACAAAGTTGTAAGCTTTGGTAACATGCAAGAAAAGTCAATTGGTTGAGTCCTAAATAAATACGATACAATCATTATAAAGTGATAAAAATTTGGCTCTGGGTTTTGATAATATTCTATAAAATATACTTTGATTCACAAGATGATAATTGAAACTAATGGATGTTGGGACCAAAATGAATGGCTTGAAACAATGTTCCTTTTCCTTTTGCAGGTTCACCTCCCGCGGCTTTGATTCTGGAAGCACCATTCACCAACATTGTCAATGCTACTTACCACCACCCATTCCTCATTGTGAGTAACACTTTCCTCTTGTTTCACAATCATATTGGTCCCTGTATAATGCAAGAAATTTTATAGCAAAATTCAAGATGAGGGTTTGACAGTTTTTATACAGAGATTGGAATTTTAAGCAGCCACTTTCATTATTGGCTACCTCAAAACTATGGCATTGTGTTTTCCTAAGTCCCCTTGGTGATTAACCAGAGAGTAAGGATTATCAAGCATGACTTACTATTTTAGTGAGTGCTTGAAAATTAAGTGTCAATAAGTTTTGTAGGTGTTTGCTTTTGCTTTTGTGTATAAGGAACCTGAAGCTGTAATTTAGAGGGGAGATGATGAAATCCGTCATGCCTGATCATATCTAGTAGGAGTGGGGAAAAATAGTAGTTACTAAACTCCTGTGGATGAAGTCATTATAATCAACACGTAGAGATAAAGTGATTAAAAAGTAAGAACTTTCTCAGTAGGCCTAGCATAGAAATAAGTGTCTTTAATCAAGAAAGGAAATCATAGGCCAAGAACTTAATTAAATTTCAACCCCTGATTTTACTACAGATAGTATAGTCATATAGTATAGTTCAGTTATAGCGACAGATAGTTTTAAGGCTCTAAGTTTCTACCATTAAATTGTTTACAGGACAGATGGATAAAAGAATTTAAGTGGATCTGGTGGTCAAGTGTTCAGTCTCTGGGTCTAGTAGTATAAAAAGTCATACACACTCTGGTTTAGTAGAAGAGAGAAGTAACATCACAAGGATGAAATAATTACGAAGAATTGACTGATATCTTGATTTCCTCTAATGTGACCAGTGAGATGAAAATTTCTCTCTCGATTGAATAAAGAGTTTGGTTCAAAATTCCTGGAAAGTTACTATTATAGATACCTGAAGAAAAAGGGTACTGAAGCTGAAATTTTGTTTCTTTTCTCTTAATTTTTGCTGGCTTTTCAATGCCACAATCACCAGTCTATGGCAGGTAGCAAACAGCCCACATCAGACATAGAGAAGTCTTTGGACAAGACTAATACTCACATTCCTTTTACCTTGGAAAGCATGTCTATGTACATCAGTTGCTTTATCAATTAAGCTACCAGAACTTTCATGGTTGACAGAAGATCATATCTAACCATATAGAGTTACTTTATTCTTCTTCAATCACTTGGTGTCATTTTTTTTTTTTTTTATTGCTTTTACATGCACTAGTTAGATTAGTACTTGTAATGAAAAGTAACTAAAATAGGATTGGTATGTGTGAGCAGGCAGTGTAGGTAAAATTGACCTTGAATTACTGCATTCACATTTGCACTCATGACCTTGGGACAGGAATGAATCTCTCTCTTCTCCCTGTCACAGCTATAGGTTAAATAGTAGGGTATAATAGGCTGTCTAGCATTGACTGGCATCCAGTCCAGAAATACTATACTGAATTCAAATCATGGAGATGGCAACAAGAAACTACTCCAATGTCTTATCCCCAAAGTCATTAAATTAAAGGAAGTTGTGGTGTGCCATGATCATCTACATCCTGAATGGATATGGTACTTGAAAGAAAGTAGTATTAGTACTGGTCATGAAAAGCAACTAAAATTAAGATTGAAGAAATTAATCAAAAATGAATAATGATTGACAAGGCTTCATCTAATAAAAATTCAAGAGGTTCCCCTTCGATTGGAGTTATGAGTTGTATAACAGTTAAGAGCACAATAGAAATTGGGAACTTAGTTCAAACTCCAGCTGGGACAGTTTACATTCACCTTTGCATTAATGCTCTTGGGAAAGGCATGAATACACTTCTTCCTCAGTTTGGAGAAAAATAGTTAGGTAGGTTAATCCATTTGTGAGAGTTTATCTTGGACATTGGGCTAGCACCCTGGTGACTGAAACTACAGTAGTTATCACTTGAGAGTGGATGTGGCTTCTCTACTGTGCAAGGAGTGTACAGAAATAAACAGTTTGTTTTTTCTCTTATTGATGGCTGTTGGAAGTGAAATTCTGTGAGGAGAGAAGAAAGTTTTGTTACTCAGAATGAGAAACCTGTCTAAGTAAAGATAAAGAAGATATTAGCAAAAACAATGTCAAGACTGACAGTAATGGTTGTAAGGTTCATAGAAATGTCGCATTTTATGTGGTATATAAAATTAATCATTAGGCATCTGTTTTAAATCAAATAATGTGATATAACTGACTTTGTAAATTGCATATTGAAATTTATAGAAAAGATTTTGTTCAGCATCCCTTGCTCTGCACCAAAAAGACTTGAATATTTCTTTATAAACATTTACATTTTTATATCATGTTGGATGTGAAGATGGTGTAATGGTTAAGTTTAAAACAAGAAATCAGCAAACCAAGTTCAAATTTTGGTTGAGATTGTTACATTCACTTTTACACAAATACCTGTAGGAAGGTTCTGAATCCATCTCCTCTCTCCCTAGCTTTTGTTTAAATAGCAAGGCAGACGGGACTCTATAGTTGTGGGTAGCAGCTCTGATGATGTAAAAAAAAAAAAAAAATTACAACCTGGCACTCCATTTTTTTTTTTTTTTTTTTTTTTTTTATATGGTTGAAGATTGATTTTCTTTAATTTTCACTTCTGTACAGTCTGACCCTCTTTAATCGAACACCCTGACACAACTAAATTAGCTGCTATTAGTTCATTGAGCGGCCACAAGGGCAATGTCACATATTGTTTACAACTTTCTGCAGCAGCCAACCACATCAAAGTGTTTTGGTGAAACCGTCTTGCTCATTTTTTATATATAGCTGCATATTTACCCATTCAGGATAGTAAGTTTATATAATTTTGGGGTTTTAGCCTTTGTAATGTATGAAACTTGTAGCCCGGCCCTAATGGTGCCGAATTAAAGAGGTCGGCCGATTAATTTTTCATTTGAGCTTTGCTTTCGTTCGAACGAGTTATCTCCTCTTGGAACTGAAGTTAAGATTTAATTTTTCAACCAGCCAGATTCATTTTTATCAATAAGAACACATTTCTCTATAACCTGATAAGTCTTCTAAACAACAATGGCTTTGCAAGTTCCTCGTCACCAATTCTTCAAATTATTCACATGCAAAATTGTTCATCCATTTCATTAGTTTCTATCTTATTCACAAGCCATCTCTATTTTTTTTTTCTGCTTTGGTTCATAATATATTATTATTGTCGAATGTACTTACCTCCCTTGTTACCATTGCTGGAAGTAAGATGAAAGTGAGTTTACTATGATATCAAATTATATATTGACTTCAAGTACAAACACTTCTTGCCATACTAATTTACTCATTACAAAGATATTGTATTAATATATTCAACTGTGTACTAATGTCGGTGCTATGTTTATTAAACTTTGACTGTATTGTTCTTTGTACCCCTTCAGGATGTTGGTGATCCTCTCTAATAACAGAACTGTCAAAGTTTGCAATAAAAAGAAAAATCAGGGCAAAAAATATAATATAAAGCAAATAAACAATATATGCAAGGCAAAGAAACAGTAATATGGCAAAAAGTTCACAAACTAAGAATTGGTGTTGACACACACAAGCAAATTCGGACAAGTGACTGTAGCATTTGACTTCAAGAAAAGAGACTGGGACTGAGTAAGATGGAATGAAGAACCTATTTTATTGGCTAGGAAAAAAATACCCAGCATGCATTTGTGCACGTCTGTGTATAAAATGTGTGGGGCTAGTGTTTTGCTGTGATTCCCATAGGGATTGAAACCAACAATCTTACTAGCTAGGTTATGTGTTATTTCAACTGTCTCCTCCTGATGTCAAGTTTAAGTGTACTTTTTGTTTCCATTTTCTCTAGAAAAAAATTTTTTTTTGTTACTTTTACATTTCTTTGGATCTTTATAATTTCAATGCATAAACATTTTTATTAGTTAAACTCAAAACATTTCACTCTTGAGACTTACATTTCATTGCTCTCGTATTTTCTCTACCTTTGCTGCATGTGTTTACAACAGCTAAATATTAATTACTACTTTGCATAATTGATAAAGGAACTAACTACAAAAATGATTTTCTGTACATAACACCCGTTTACTCTAAAGTACTTAATACAAAGGGGGTCTTAATAATTGGGTGGGTTGGAATTTTCTCAATATGCAATAAGTGAGGTAGGTGGAATAAAGGATCAGGTAGGAAAGTCCTTTAAATTGTTGAAAATTCAAAATTTAAATAAATTTTTCAAAACCACTATTTTTTTTTCTTCAAGTTCGTCTCCCAGGAATTCTACTTTCTGATAAGATAGTAGCACACAAAGCAGCTCTGGACCAACTTAATTAGTATTAAATACCAACTCTTTTAACTCGCATAAAAATTGAAAGTACATTCATGCTGTATCATCTTATCTGAAAGTGCAAGAAATCCAGGGGTTACTGTCAGCAGATATATATATATATATATATATATATATATAACAACTTGTTTATGCAACTTATTCAAACAGAATGAGAAAAATGTTTAGAATATCTTCTTTGTTCTCTTTGATTTCTCTTTCACTAGCATTATGTTTCAAAGAATTTTCTATGCACTTTGATGACTTGCAATGTAATTTCTTTTGAAATTCATCATGTAAAGCAAAAATTGGAGGGATGTCTTCATAAAGTATGCAAGTAAAAACTTGAACCAACTGTAATTATGGTTTCCAGTTTGAGTTCTGGAGTTGGGAAAGGGTGGAATTAATAAACTTGGAATGAGGAGGAGGTAGAAAAGTTCCAGGTAAAAAAAAAAAAAAATTATATAAATGTCAACTCCTCTTTTATTAGACACCCAAGTGTAAGAAAGTTGGTATGAAGACAGTTTAGTTTAGCAATACACTGCGTGGTGCCAAATTATTATCGAGATAACTTTTTTTTTATAACATTTCAAAAACTGTCCAATCAATTCACACAATATTGGCAACACTGACCTGCGCAATCACTGAAAATTTCGACCTGATCTGCACAATGTAAACAAACTGGCGTCATAATTGTAATCAGGTCAGTGTTGCCAACATTGTGTGAAAAT